TTAATCCTTGCAACGTCCCTACATGGAAAAATGTCTCGGTTTTACAGGCAAGGAACCTGAAGCATAAAAGAGTTGTTTGACTTCTCTCATGAGTCTGCAGGGTGCCAGTGGCACAGCTTAAATCTCTCAATTCCACTTCAGCTGCAGGTCTTGGAACAGTCTGGCCCCTGCAAGCTCTGACAGTGGTTATTATGCAGCTTTCCAAAGGGATATGTGAGTGGCAAGAAGATTGTTGCTACTGGCATTGTCCTAGCAGCCCTTCCCTGCCAGGAAATGCACACAGAACATCGTCACCATCCTGTTTAACCAGGCTGAGGAGCACCCAAGTCTGAGCACTCGGAGTGGGCTTGTCTCAGTGTGACCACGGCAAGAACTGTGTAACCATGTCCTCCCCAGTTCTGCACTCGCCTCTGTGCGTGCCTGACGGGTGCTGGAACTCTGTGTGCCAAGGTGCTTAGGGCTCTTTCCCACAGCTGCTGGTTTGCCCTTCAGGGGAGACTGTGGGAAAGAGACTGAAAGATTGTTGGCACTTAAGTGATCTTTGACCATATCTTCATGAGGGAGTGAGGAGGTTTGAAACAGCCACGGTTGGAAAGGGAAGAAGGGGGAGTGGAAGGAGGGGGCGGGAGGGGAAGAAAGGAAAAGTGGCCCGACCTTTCTCTCTCAGCTGTGCAAGCCTACACTGGTGGTTTGCATTTGCTAACTCACAGTACTGAATTTTATATGGGGGGAGCAAGGAGCAAGGACAGAAACTAACTTCAGTGAGGCAGTGGGCACTCACTCCTGGAAAGGGCCCCTGCCATGGCCAGCTTCCAACAGCATGTCCTTTGTGGTTTTGATACCTGGCAAGGTAGCTTGGAAATGCAGCAAAATTATGCTCCATATCAGCAACAGAGCTTGGAGGGGAACTGAGACTTCCTTCCTTGACAGATCCATGAGATCAAGCGCTCTGATCATAAAGCAAAGCGCAAACGCAAGAATAAATAAACCTTTCTTAATCCAATCAACCTGGTTATTCTTGAATCCCATAAAATAACTACCAGTGGTTGCTTGAGGAGTTGCTATAAACATGACTTATAAGGAGGGGACATCCAAACTTTGTGCAACCTAGTGATTGCATTGGCGATTTTCCAGGATCCCCAGGGGCTGCTGCTAATTGGCATCAAATTAAGTAGGTTGCAGCTACCCTCATCTTTAATACAAAGAGAGGGCCCCCGGGAGGCTACAGGTTCCAGCGTGTGGCCTTCTCACATCAAGAAGGAGCACAGCACACTGGGACATAGAGTCTCCTCAGGCCCTTTGCCCTTGTTGACAGATCTGGGGAAGCTGCAGGCCACACTGGACACCTTTACAATGGCTTGATCATGCTCTCTTTCTTAGAAAAAAGAGAAAAACAATCAACTATGGCTTTGGTTAAGTTCATGTTAATCAGCATTCATGAGACTTAACAAAAAAACAACAAACATAATTTCCTCCCTCTCTCCTCCACCCAGAAGCAGACTACTGGTAGAAACTGAGGCTGGAAAAAATAGTTGAAAGTCAGCTAAAGTCACCTTGGTAACTGCAGCAATACACTTGCCCAGAACAGGAGACATCAAACCCAACTACAAACAGCTTTAAAGAAACAAAAAGAATGTAATCATCTAAAGAATTAATCTGACAACTGCCCACGTTTACACCTCCCACAAGCTCCCAATCAGAGGGAAATGCGCTTTAATCTCCTCCAACTCCCCTCCAGTTTCACAAAACACTAGATGCGCAGTCTTTAAACTGGGGCATTTCCGGCATGCTGCTTCCATTTAAATCTGCTGCCTTTCCTAATGCAGCAGCCCTGGCTTTTGCAGAGTTGTTTTTTCTGGACACTGAGAAACATGAATTTTTTTGTGGGGGTTGGACAAAGTATTAAATCTGGCATAGACAAAGTTTGCAACATTTTTTGTGATAGTCAGCTAGATCTTAGTCATAACAAGTAAAACTCCACTGACTCTTGCTGCTGATTTATTTGGTGATGGGGTGGAGGAAGCAAAGACTTACGGGTAACTGACAGTCGTAAAACCAGGGATGTTAGTGTTAGAAAGCGAACTTTTTCTACATTTTTTTCTGAGTCTGAAAACGACAAGCTGTGGATGTCAATGTGTGTTAGGATATGAGCTTTTTATTAATAACAACCTAGAGGTCCTGCTGACCCTTCATCTGGGTGATCACCCTTTGGAAGGGTCAGCACAAGGATTTCCAATCCCAAAGAGAGAATTTTACTGGGTCTTTCTTAGTCCCCATGTCATGCAACATTTTTCCAAGTCTGAAAATGATGGCACTGTGACCTCCTAATGTGTTATGTGCATTCCACTATATGCAATTCTTGTTTAGAAAGGTCTGCCTTAGACAAAAGGTTATTTGGTTTCTGCTATTGGAGTTTCACCCTTAATTTTAAATACCTGAAATTGTGTGAGCTCCTCTGAAGGGAAACAAGAGACACAGAGTATGAGTATTTTGGAAAGGATTAATCCTTTCATGTCATTCACAGAATTAACTACCATTTTGCTTCACCTTTTTGACAGAAGGGCTGGTTACTTATTAATGTGAAGTCATAATTATTGACAGCCGTAAAGTCATGACAGTTCCATTTGATAGTTATACATTAGTCAACATCTTCTCTTGAGCATGTAATGACAAACAGCATTTGCTGGTTTTAATAAGACTCAGAAAGCTTTGCCCCTTGCCTGCAGAATTATTGTCGTCATTCCTATTATTGCATTAACAACCGGAGGCTGTTCCCCCTCCGGACTGCAGCCCCATTGTGCTCGCAGCTGTACTGGCTAGCATGGTGGAAACCTAAAAACCCACCTTCAGCTCAGTGGGATTTGGAGCCCAGGGTTGTGGGGAGCTGTCCTGCAGCTCTCTGTCCTGCTGAAGCACAAATCTCACACCGTGGATTGCCTGTGAGGCTGTTCTGGGATGTCCCCATGCCTGGCACGCTTAGTCCAGGTGAGCAGGGCACAGTCTCTCGTCTGTAGCAGTAACATTGCTGTAAAACTCCTGATCCACTCCACAGTGCCTAAACTCTGGAACTGCATTTAGGAGCGCAAGTTTATGGTTTGTCTGAAAATCATGCGTTGCTAATGGCTGACCCTTTTGGTAGGGGCTGATAAATGAATGATTGGAAGCTGTAGACCACAGGCTGACTTTCCCACAGCTCACTGTGTATATAAGATCTGATAAGGAAGTTGAGACAAAGCTTAGCTTAAGGTCAACTGATCATTAATCAACTGTAACTGCACTTCTCAGGTAATCAGCCTGAAAAATGCTGGCCTGCTCCACTCTTTGAAGACCCCACCTAGAAAGAGCTATAAAATGTTTGCTGAAGTAGATTAAACACAACTTTAAGTGCCACACATAGACTACAAAGCATGCTGTGTCTTTGCTTCAGGGTTAACCCACTAAACTGACACTCTGCTGACTGTCAGTCCATCAGCCCACCCTGTGCATAAGCTGTATCCTGATGTACCATGTCCCTGCTGGATTCATTACTACTTTTGTGTGTTGCTGAAGAAGAAAATAGGGCATGTTTTACAGTTTTTATCTTGCAGAGAGCTGAGCTGCTCTGTTATCTTTTTTCTGCATGTCTCTGACCTGGCCATGCAGTGTATTTCAGGTTGTACCATGAGATATCAGAGTTTAGCTGTTTCAGAGTGGGCACTCAGCAGCATGGGTGAAGGGCTCGCGTGGGACTGGGTGACCTGGCAGAAGCAACAGGCTGATCTGCACTGAAATTCACACTGAACTGCACTGCTATGTGTGTGGCTGGTGGGAGTAATTTTGGGACAGCTCTCAAAGGTAAAATCAAGTAAAGGTGTCATCTAGGTCAGCTCATGAGGGTGAAGCGGATTCTTCACAATCATTTCCAGATGTACACTAAAGACAGTTCAGCTTGGATGGAGGAAGGATCCAGGCTTGTTTTAACAATGTTCCCAAATGGAGCCACAGCTTGATACCCTTGTTTGGCTTTTGGCTCTTGTGGCACAATGGAGGTACATTGCAATGTGGAATCTGAGTGCCCTCCTGCTTTCCCTGTCCCTCTCCTCTGGCGATTCTGTACTGTAGAAACTATCTTAACAAAGTCTTACCTCTGTTAAATTCTTGTGGAATGCCAGGTGACAAGAATATAAATCACTTATCAGACACTTCTCATCAGTCCATGTCATCCATTAAAGTCATAACCCATCCTGTCCTTTATTCTTTGTTCCAGACTGTCAAGTAAGGGATCATGCTGGTGCTCTTTGAGCATATAAAGTGTTTATGGTCAAGTATTTTGAGATAGATTGTTTTATTATCTAGAGGATTTGGTCTGGCAAAGTTCCTAATCATGTAACAACATAACCATGTTGTAGCTTCAGAATATGCTGGTCTTGCAGAAATGAAGGAATAAGAAAGCAAAGTTACTATTGTCCTAAAGCAGCCTGACTTACAAGGTAGAAGAATCTATGAATCTCCTGCTTGTCACATGGAGAGTTTTTCTTCTGGCTGTTGCATTTGGTGCTGGATGAACCAGGAGATTCTCAAAGCCTTTTGGTTGAACTGTGCAAAAAAAAGGCACAAAGGACTGGACAAGTCTTTCCTGCAGGCCACTGCCTGAAAAATCCTGAAGAAAAGCAAAAGCAGGAGGAAGGACACACCTGGTAATTCTTCCAAACCATTTTGTAGTGTTTGGAGTTTTGGAGACTTTAGTTTTGCTGCAGTTCTTTCCAGAATTTTTTTTTTTTTTATACTGGGAAGAGATGCACCATGTATATGCATCAGTTCAGATCCTAGGTTCAAACCAAGCTGAGGAGCTGCATGCTGGGACTGGTAGTCTGAGTGAGGCTCTGTCTCTGCAGGAATGGTGAAAACTCAGATGTGTCTTTGTCTTCATGACAGTTTTTTCCCCAAATCCTTCCATATTCGCAATCAAAATAGCACACAGTACTGGAATCCTGAATCTGTGCGTTTATCTGTTCTCTCAGAAGCCGTAAGGACAGTTTGGAAAGCGAGAGCTCAGCAGCCATCATTCCTCACGAGCTGATCCGCACGAGGCAGCTGGAGAGCGTGCACCTGAAATTCAACCAGGAGTCCGGAGCGCTCATCCCGCTCTGCCTAAGGTGAGTGAGCAAAGCCATCCTCCTCCACAGCCTGTGCTGACACGCTGCCTTTGCCTTGTGGCATTGTTTCACCATACAGACATGCATGCAATGGGTCTGTAAAGGCCAGAGCTTAGATATTTTGCCAAAACACATTAAAAACAGATGATTCTTTGCATGATTCTGTGCTCATCATGTTAAGATTGTTTCTCATTCTTTTTACATCCTCCAGTGTCTTTTGACTGCCGAAGCAGGACGGGGTTAGTATAGGGGATTTTTTATTAGTCTAATGCTAGCAACCCTGTGATAAAGAAGGGATGTCTTAACATATTCTGTCAAAGAAATCCTTAAGTTATTCATTCTGACTTATGGACTCAGATAAGTGGTTGTGCAAAACCTGTTTGCAATCAGTTTCTGCATACAAGTGTGGATTTTAGAACAAATTATGTCACATGACTGAAGGAGCAACACATTGTGTGCATACTCTACACATTTTCTTTTGAAGGTTCAGTCTGTGCATATCACTGGCTTCTAGTTTTCCATAATTTCAGCCAGCATTATTTTTAAAATCCCTGTGCAAATGTTCTAGTATCTTAAGATAAAAATGAACTGTCGTGTCAAGGCAAATGATTGTAGGTGATTGAGTTACTTTAGCTTAATGAGTTACATGTTGGTAGTATCAGAGTTATCAGCAGCAGGTGCACACTTGCCTGGGCCTGTTGAGAAACCAGTGGGAAAGTTAATGCAAACATATTTTATTTTACATCACAAATGTGTGAACAGTCTGTCCTGATCAGTTAGCTCATCTGACCAGCAGTAACTCACCAAGCAACTGTGGCTCTGGTAGGCACTAAATATATTACCTGAAGCTCTCCCTCTTGCATGTTAGAAGCCATGCATGGGTGTCACAGATGCTCTGAGCTGACATACAGAGCCATGATTTTCCCTTGCATTGAATGAAAATGCATTCATTTGCATGCAAGGGAAGTAAATGCAAGGGAAGTAATACTGTAGATGGTCATATAAATGGTCAAAACACACTGTGTGTGTTTTCTAGGCATTTGCTTAAGTAATACAGGTGACATTTGTCAAACACCAGTACAATTGATTACTAGGTGTTGTCACAGAAATGAGCCTTCTTAGAAATGTGTCTTCACATTCCTACACAATGTGGAGTCTGAATTCTCTTCTGTAGTTTCCATCTTGCTGGAAAACTGTCAGTCCCCTGCGTTTACATACATCAGCAGCTCATCATGGGGATAGGCATGAAGTGGCTTTAATTGATTCTAGGTCTGTAACAAGGTCCTGAGATTAAGGGGGAAGATGAGGGGTAGCTCCCTGCCTCAGAAGGAGGCTCATCACCTGCTTTTTGGAGTAAATCATTCTTATATTCCTGAAAAATATATATTTGCTGCCTTCAAAATAGTTTCCCATGCTGATGGCAGAAACAATAGTGAAGTATCTCCATTGTTGTGTTGAATGCTGTGCATGCCCTCCCAACTCATGCACGTGTGTTTAATTCCCCAGGGGAAGGCTCTTACATGGACGGCACTTTACATATAAAAGTATTACAGGAGATACAGCAATCACATTTGTATCAACGGGAGTAGAAGGAGCCTTTGCTACAGAGGAGCACCCCTATGCAGCCCATGGACCTTGGTTACAAGTGAGAAAACCTGTCTCCTGACTTTCCCCTTTCCTCCTTTACTGTGACCTAAAAACTATCTTGCTAAGAGCTTATGTTGTTTAAAAGAGTAACAAACCTGTATTTTCTACTGCAACATCTCTCATAGCTCTTGCACAATATTTTCAGTAATTATGACCTCAAAAAATAATGGTGAAATGCTGCTATTTATATTGGTGGAACTCAAAAAGATAAGTGACTGGAAAATTCAGACATCATCTGTGAATACAGTAGTATCCATTTCCTGAAGTCAGTGAACACTTTACAGGCTGTATTTATTCTTGATTTTTTCCAGAAGGGAATTTGGGGAGGCAGAGTGGAATGACCTAAACAAGAATGGAGCCAGGGCAGAAGAGCTGGAAAGCTGTGGGACTGTGATCCTGCAGAGCCAAGATCTCAGTTTGATCATCCCTAACAGAAGAGCAGCACAGAGAGCAATGCCTTTCAGTTTCAGCTCTTTTCTATTGATTCTTTGATAAAAGCTTGTGGTTGCTTGAAGCACCCACACATTTTTGCACCCACATGTTCTTGGTGTCACAGATTTTCCCTGGAAAATCCCCATCTGCTTGAAATTGAGGGTCAGCCCTAGAGCAGTGATGCACTAATGATCTGACAGTGTAGAGCTGTTCTACCCTTGAATTTCTTTATGGTTATAAGCATATTGTGGGAAAAAAAAATCTTGAGGGAATGTGTTAATGCAGAAAAGCCCATTTCTGAGGGACTATGTGTGCAGTATGTCTCTGCCTTTACTGCAACTGTGGCATTCCTGCCTCTCCTTCTGTTTTGAAGACAGGGGGTTGTTTCAGCATTGCAGTGTTGCAGTTAGCCTTCCAATGATTTGTTTTCAAGGCATTCTGTAGTCTGCATTCGTAGGTCTGGAGGACATCATACCTTGGAATCTGTATGACTTGTAAAGGAGCTGATCTCGGCCAGACCCATCTCGTGCAGGGATTTTCAAAGAGCCTGCTTTGATTGTTCTGACTGGAAAGTGCAATGCTCCTATAATGATTAACAGCAAAGAGTCAGGTTTAAGGGTGGGTCATTTGCTGTTGGTTCCTGTGCTTGCCAACATATGATACACAGGATCTTGTGACTGTGTTAACTCCAAACATGGCTGTTTGTTTGCATTTGCATCACATCTTGAAATATATTGATGTGTAGAGTAGTCAGGTAACCTCTAAACAGTGAAGAATGGCAATAATTATGTCACCATACAGACATGTTAACCCTTATCAACCTGCCTGTTTTCATGCCTCTTATTTTGGTGCTGAAAAACGTGTAAGATTTTTGGAGTAGGTGAGATGAAAAGGTGAAGAATTGCTGGCTAAGATGGTAGGGAGGAGAAGCAAGTTCCCTCACTTGTCTCCTACACAAGGCCAGTGCATTGGATCTTCTTGTCTAACATAAGCAGCTCTGCTGCTGGCCCCTGCCCTGTCCTGTGTTGAGTACAAAGGAGGACAGGCTGAAGGGGGAGGAAGGGAGGCTGAAAGCAGCCTGGGACAAGAGGAGTAGCACCCGGTTGTGAGATGTGGGAGTGTCTGAGACTCTTGGCTTAGTATGCAAGGGAAGACTTGATCCGTGCTCAGCCATTCCTTGTGGTGTTGGGAGCAGGGGAGGGGGAGGTTTATGTGGCTTTGCTTCAGAAGTAAAAGAAGTTGTGGTGCATAAAATTTCCAAGGAGGCGAGCTGTGTTTGGTTTAGTCCATTGCAGCCTGGGCTGGCTGAGTTGGCAAGCCCTGCTAAGCTTTCACAGCAAGGCCCAGAGAGGATTTTCCTCCTCCCTTGCTTGGGACCCCAGGCACAGCAAGGAGCTCCAAGGAGAATTGGTGGCTGAAAGCACATTACTGCAATGCAGGGGCATGTTGCAAAGACAAGTAAATGGAGGAACTGTGGAGAAGACATGGCAAGCTTTTCCTCCTATGGACTTTTCCCCTATCTTAGGGTAGAAATAAGAGCCTTAAAAATCCCAGCCTCAACTCTGCAGCAGCCAGAGACTTGCTTTTCTTGAGTCTAAGCTTTGGTGCAGTGAGAGCCCAAACCTGCAGACTAAACACAGTACCTCCTGTTTACATCTTGTGGGATGGAGTGGAGCATGTCCAAGGTGGGACAGGCTGGGGAGCTGCTGTCTATCAGCCCCCGCTGCCCAGGCTGAGCAATGAGCTGAGAGTCACTGGGCTCTGGTGGAGGGTTAGCAAATGACAGGAGTTTGGCAGGTCCCAGCACCATTCCAACCAGACAGGTGTCCATATCACCACCACAGCTGGTACTCAGAGGGAACCATTTTAGCAGTCTCAGCAGAAAAAGTAAGGAGTCATTAGACCAGAGAGATTGTACGCCCCATTTCTATCAACAGTCTTTCCAGGTCACGTTTGAGGCATGTTAGCAGGGGAAGCCTGTCCTGCTCCTGCCCATGCTCTGGGGATGATTAGATTATTTCATTCTCCAGAGCTGTCAAATTGGCACCTTTCCCAAGTACTTGGAATTTTTTTTCATTTAAGTAACATTTAATTAGTTCTAAGAAGCTAAATTCTATTAAAGGTCTAAGCATGTTAGGCTGGTTTATTTCTGAACTCCTTCCACTATGTCATGTATTGTTGAGTAGGGAAATTGCTTTAACTCAGAAATGTACAAACATATTCAAGAAGTCCTCCTTGTTAACACTAGACTCCTGTTTTTATGCTAGTTACTGTGGCAGAGTCTCTGATGTGTAACACTTGAATTAACATTACAGATGATCAAAGGCTTCCGCGGTTCTTTCTTCCACTCCCCCTTCCTCCAGTGCTGTGACTGCAGAGCCCCCACATTGCCTCCTAAGCACCTCTCCTCTGCTTTCCAAGGGGTAGATGTTCCAGATGCACAGGGAAAGGCTGTGCAGGAGTGTCTGGCCCATGCTGGAGGGTTAAGGATGCTGATCATGCAGACAGACTCCAACATAAACTGCCTCACAGTGACATTCAGATTTGTGGTGGAGCGTCCTTGGTCCAACATCTGAGCTGTGCCAAGTGTGCAATTCATCACAGATTGACCTTGTTTGTCTCTAAAACATTCCCAAAGCAAGGTGAGGTTGTGCGTGTGTTCTCTCTCCCTCCCTTACTTTTGTTCCGACAGATGATAGAGACGCTCTGTTGAAATGTGTTACTGATCAAGCCCGTCCCAATAAAGTTGCCTGAGCCTTTAATACATATTAATATTATCCTGGGGTAGTTTGTGTCAAAGCCTGTCAGCATGCATCATCCTTTGGGAATTACCATCATTAAGTCTCCAGTGATGGGAGTCAGGACATGCTTCTGCAAAGCTCCTCTGCTTTTATGTGGAGCTCTCTGCCCGTCTAGCACAAAGCAGGCTGTTCTCCCCTCCTGCCTTGCTCACCTGGACTGCTTACTCTCCCCAGAGGGGAGAAGGAGGTTTGTTTAACTCTACCTTTAGATAATTTCTGCTCCTGCTGCTTTAGGCAGTCATTGTTCTAGGCAGGAAGATGACATTCAAGCCTTTGATCATGTGCAACGTGCATGTTACACATCAGATACTACTGCAGACTCTGACATACAAGCCAATACAGTGCAGTAAAAACAAACCTATAGTTAAAGAGACCTCGTTAACTGTAAAATCTAGCACACAGAATGTAAGAAATATCTCTGCACTTTAGCCTTGCCCCTGTTACACATGTGCATTTCAATGCATTATCTAATTGAAGAATCATACACGTTTTTAACAGAGTGTGCTTGCCTCATTCACTGCACAGAGATGCAGTATGTTTGGGGGATGGATCAGGAGCATGGAGTAAAGTAGACTCTTTCCTAAAGGATTCCCACTTTGTTAAAATTGGAAAGTGTGTAATGAATGAGGCAGGTAACTGCAAAAAATCACAGTAGTCTGATAGTGAAGCCTGTTCAACATTGCCCTGGAGAACTGGGTCCTGTTCCTGCCTCTACTATTCTTATTCCAGAGTCTTAAACTAAAATATTCTCACCTGGCAAGTGACTTTGTGTTCCTCATTTTCTGGATGCCCAGCTCAAACCTGAAGTCTGATCTGTGCTCCCAGCAACAAGAGGAGGTCAGGAAGAATTCCCTTGTGCATACCTCTGTGCTACACAGGACTAAGTGGACTGGAAAACAAGAATCTGCAAGTCTTGAGATGGGCACTCACAAGAAGTAGACATTCAGATTCAACTTTTTCTTCACTTATTTTCCTATGTCTGTCCAGAAGAACATTCTTCCAGTCATCCTGTGAAGAATGCAATGAATTCAGTGCTTGCCAGGCATTCTCCACAGATGAACAGCAGAAACAGTTTCAGGAAGAGATTAAAATTTATTCTTGCAGGTCAGGAGAGAGATAGGATTTCTTTGGGGCAGGGATTCAGCCTGGGAGCTGTGCTCAAAGACCCATGTTCAGTTTCCTGCTCTTGCAGATTTTCTCTGTGACTTTTAAGTCTCTACTTCCTTGAGCCTCCATCCCCCATCTGCTGTACTGAAGACAGCACTTCCCTGCCTTGCAGAAATGTGAGGCCAAGCACGTCAGAGGCTGAGTGGTGGACAGTAAGATTAGGTACTTCCAGTGTTATCCATGCTGGCAGTAGTTGGATGGAGCATACTAAATAAAGGGGAAGAGAGTAGGAGAGAATGGGGAAGCAAGTTGAATGATAATGAAAAGAAATGATGACTAATGCTGCATTCAGTGAGCAGAACCATCCTGAGGACTGAGCAGGGCAGAGGTCTTGCTGGAGAAAAACTGCAGGTGATCCTGTGATTACAGATTTGTTTCATGGGGCAGACACGTGCTGGCGCCAAATTAGCATGGCATCATTTCTGTGCAGCAGTTTCCAAAGTTTTGTATGCCCAATGTCACTCATCTCTGAGTGCAGAGGGTATTTTTTCCAGGTAATTTACTTGGGTTTGGGACTAATCCTGTTAGGCAGGTGGAGGCTATGGATCATTGGCACTTGGCACCCCCTGATTCTCAGCCCAATGTGAGTGTCTCTGTG